CATTCTAATTAAAATTTGAAATAAAAATTATTAAATTTAATTATGATAACTCCCTCGATTAAAACCTAATATGGATCTCTTCTTATCTACTTCTTTTTCCAAGTGGTTGGTCCAATAATAATATAAATAAATAAATAAACTTTTATTTATTTAATCTCATATCTTTTGATTGATATTCACACCAATTATTGTTGAATTTTTGTTTTGATGAGATTTCAATGCATATCTCAAGTCAAACCTAATATTTGACAACACCCATAAGAAATCATAATCAATCGGTTTCACATACTAGTTTGATTTTGATCCGGAATACACCTACTCAAGTTTAATCTTTATTAGTTTTATAATTGATGTCGGCTTTTTAATGTTTTTATCTTACAAGTATCTTATATGATTCTTGAAATAGTCCAACAAAGTTTGATTAATAATTATAAAATTTATTAATTAAGCTTATTTATAAATATCATAAAATTTTCAGTAATTTTTTGAAGAAATTTATTTACCCATTTGTAACTAAAATTTAAAGTTAAATAAAAAAAGAAATGTTTTACCATTATTTTTAGAGTAAACGACTTTTTTTTTTTTTTTTTTTTTGATCCAGCGGTGTTTGGGCCAGTTTGAGCGTACCTCAACTAATCTTTCGAGACATTGAAGTTAACGGTCAGATAAGCCTGTAGTGGTTATTCTTTATTAGTAGTCGTGGAGATTTGAACTCAAGACCTTATAAGTATTATATTCAAGAGTCTCAAGCAAACCACAAAACTATCAAGAGTAAACGACTTTTTCCTACCTAAGATTTGGCCTAATGACACTTTCTTGTCCAAAAACTTTCAAAATACAACTTTATTACTCAAATGTTATGTTTTGTTTATAATTTCCATCAAATAAAATGATATTCATTATGAATACGATTTAAAAGTTAATTTTGACATTTTAATTTTTTAATAAAAACACTAAAGTTAAATTTTCTTTGCCCCCTCACATTATTCTTTTTTTTTCCTTCTCTACTTCTTTTCTTTCTTATCTCCTTCTCGCCATGGTTGCTTGGCCCCAGCGGTGGGTTTGGGTCACCGCGTGAGGGCCTCATGGCGGCTAGATTTTGCCTCCACAAAGCCCTCACGTGGTGGCCAAAATTTGGCCACTGTAAGGGCCAAGAAGCAGCCATCTGGCCGTTGCTTTTCAGTCACATGAAGGCCAAATCTGGCTGCAACAAGACTTCTATGCAGTGGTCACATCTGGCTTCTCTCTTATACTTATTTTGAGAAAATGCAGGATCCTACGGGAGCAAATGTTAGTCTACCATTTTATCCTTACTTATAACATACTTTGATCATCTTACCCTTCTTTAGAACGAAATTTACTAATAGAGTTTTATTGTATATAATAAAATTTTATTTTGAAACTTCTTCACAACGAAATTTACTAATGAAATTTTATTTTAAAATTTTTTGGATGGAAAAAGGGAAGAAGAAACCACTTAATTTCAACACAGCAAGGTAATTTTTATTTTATTTTATATAATTTAAATATTAATATAATTAATTAGATTCCTTGGCCGTTGCAACCTAGTTCCTATTCTTAAGGAATTAAATATTAACCAATTAATGAAAGTTTTTGCTACATTATTAATTCACTGTATCTATTTTCTAATCTTTGATGTCACTGTCACCCTCTTAATATTTTATTTAAACGTTGATTTAAAATTCAAGAGAAGTATCTCTTATGACACCTAGATGTATTATTTATTTATTCATTATTATTATTTACTTCAGATAATAAATTTTTACTTTAAATCAAAACAAATTTTTTTAATTATTTATTTACCAGAATTCAATATTTTATGAGTTATTAACACTATATATATATATAATACAAATTTCATATTACTTTTTAAATTAATAATTTCAAGTGGCAGGATTTTATTGACACGTCACATTTGAATATGATGAATGTGTACCGAATGATATTTTAAATAAAATTAAAACCTGAATATTCAATTGTCATGTCTTAAACTAATTTAAAGGAAATTCATTAATAGAAAACAAATTAATTAATCCATTTTAATAAGTTTAAGGGGGCAATACTACCTTTACAACCCAATCTTATAAACTCTCACAATTCGTGATAGTTTGCAATGAGTTTTGCTTAGACAATTACGAATCTCGTCTATCCAATTGTGAGCTCACAATCCATAACAGCTCACAATGAGTTTCGTTTAACCAATTACGAGTGTCACTGTCATCTATTTAATTGTGAATTGACCAATTGAGAATTGTCAATTCAAGATAATGAAAGAAAATTTGTAAAATTAGGTTATAAATCCATCTTTATAGGAAGTTTAATAATTGTTTTAATTTAATTGAATAATTGAGGATTGAGAGAAAGTTCGTGGGGGCAAGCAACTAATAATAATACAAATAGATTTTATTTACTTTTTACAATATTTGTCAATTAATAAGTAATTATCCAGAAGTATATATGAAGATTCTAATAAATATTATATTGGTCTTAAGAGGATTCACTTGAGTAATTACGAGTTATTAAGGATTCTGACGTGTATTAAATTAGATAATACTGTATTAAGAGATAAAAATGGTAATAAGCTTAAACTCTAGTGAAACATGTTTCCATATAATATTTTGGGAGAACGACTTATACATACCCAAGGTTTACCGTAACAACAAATTGGTACCTAAAAGATTTTAAAACAACAAATAGGTACCTTCCGTCATGTTCTGTTAATGATTTCTGTTTATTAATAGTGAAAATACTAAAATGCCCTTAAAAGTTTGAATTTTAGTTTTTTATAAATTTAAAAATTTCTAAAAAACCCCCTAGGTTTACAAATTTAACTAAATAACCCAATATATAAAATTTTTGTAAAATGACAAAAACACCCCTACCACCCGTAGTGCCAGATTCTGGCCACCACCGCCAGAATTTGGCCGGAAAGTTGTATTACGACACAGACCCGTCGGATCTGTGTCGTAACGCGTCGATCTGGCTTTTTCCGGCCAGATCCGTGGCTGATCTGGCCAGAAAATGCCAGATCTACGGCTAGATCTGGCTGTCGACGTCGCAAAACTCCATCTGCGGCATCGACGGCTAGATCTGGTCATAGATCTAGCCTTTTCCGGCCAGATCAGCCATGGATCTGACCGGAAAAGGCCAGATCTGGCTGCTACTTCGACGGCCAGATCTGTGGCAGATCTGGCCGGAAAAGGCAAGATCGGCACGTTACGACACAGATCCGATAACGTAACTTTCCGGCCAGATTCTGACGGTGGTGGCCAAAATCTGGCACTACGGGTGGTGGGGGTGTTTTTGTTATTTTACAAAAAATTTATATATTGGGGTATTTAGTTAAATTTGTAAACCTAGGGGGTTTTTTAGAAATTTTTAAATTTATAAAAAAACTAAAATTCAAACTTTCAAGGGCATTTTAGTCTTTTCACTATTAATCAACAGAAATCACTAACCGAATATGACAGAAGGTACCTATTTATCGTTTTAAAACCTTTTGGATATCAACTTGTCATTATTGTAAACCTTGGGTATGCACAAGTTGTTCGGCCTAATATTTTTTATCCCCATCTCCTTTTTCCCTGACCTTATTTTCTGCAGCATGCATTTTGCAAGTCAACCATGGAAGTCTTTCTCACTTCTCTCTCCCTCTCCCTCTCTCTCTCTTTTAACATACTCAGAAGCATACACATTTTATGACTATAAATACCCTTCAACTTCTACACTACTCTCCAACAATCTAAACGCCGCTCTTCTTACACACTCACCAAATTAAACACATCCCAAAAAACCACCCAAAATGGTGGTCGCCTCACCCGGTACCGCCCATAATTTGGCCAACATGAGGGGCTTTGCTATCCAAGTCATCACCGGCCGGTGGTTCATGATCTTCGCTTCATTGCTCATCATGGCCGCCGCTGGTGCAACTTACATGTTTTCCCTCTATTCAAACGACATCAAATCAGCTCTCGGCTACGACCAAACCACTCTCAATCTCCTCAGTTTCTTCAAAGATTTAGGCGCCAACGTCGGCGTTCTCTCCGGTCTCATCAACGAGGTCACTCCCCCGTGGGTGGTTCTCCTCATCGGCGCGATAATGAATCTTTTCGGGTACACCATGATTTGGCTCGCCGTGGCGAAAAAAATGGCCAAGCCTCAGGTTTGGCTGATGTGTCTATATATTTGCATTGGTGCCAATTCTCAGTCTTTCGCGAACACTGGTGCGCTCGTTACTTGTGTGAAGAATTTTCCTGAGAGTCGCGGCGTTGTGTTGGGGATTTTGAAAGGTTATGTTGGTCTCAGTGGCGCCATAATCACTCAGCTGTATCATGCCTTCTATGGGGATGATACTAAATCTTTGATTTTGCTTATCGGTTGGCTTCCTGCTGCCATTTCTTTTATTTTTCTCAGGACTATTCGGGTAATGGAGGTCGTGCGCCATCCGAATGAGCTGAAAGTGTTTTACAATTTTCTCTTTATTTCTTTAGGCCTTGCCGGGTTTTTAATGTTCATAATTATAATAGAGAAACAGTTCACTTTCACTCAAGGGGAGTATGGCGGAAGTGGCGCCATGGTTCTTTTCTTGCTCTTTTTGCCAATTCTTGTTGTTTTCATAGAAGAATTCAAGCGACGGAAGATGAAACAAATCATCATGAATGATCCTTCTCCGATCAACGTAGTCTCTAATGAGAAACCGAGTGAAAAGACGGCCTCATCAACACCACCGCAGCCGCAACTGCCACCATCAACGAACACCGAAAAAAGTTCAATGGAACCTGCAGTATCACTGCCACCACCAGAGAAACAACGTTCATGTTGGACAACTTGTTTCCAGCCACCAGACAGGGGTGACGACTACACAATTCTGCAAGCACTCTTTAGTATCGACATGCTGATTCTCTTTGTCACTACAATCTGCGGCGTCGGTGGAACCTTAACGGCAATCGACAATCTGGGTCAGATCGGAACTTCACTGGGATACCCCAAAAGAAGCATAAGCACATTCGTTTCACTAGTCAGTATCTGGAACTATCTCGGCCGAGTTTTTTCCGGTTTTGTCTCCGAAATCTTTCTAGTCAAATACAAATTTCCTCGCCCTCTCATGCTCACAATCATCCTCTTATTATCCTGCGTTGGCCATCTTCTCATAGCCTTCAATGTCCCCAGTGGATTATACGTAGCATCAATCATTATCGGCTTCTGTTTCGGCGCTCAATGGCCATTAGTTTTCGCGATAATTTCCGAAATTTTCGGCCTAAAATATTACTCAACCTTGTACAATTTCGGGGGATCCGCCAGCCCCGTCGGCTCATATCTGCTCAACGTGAGGGTGGCCGGATATTTATATGACCGAGAAGCCGAGAAGCAAATGGTGGCTTCGGGGCTCACCAGGAAGGCCGGTGAAGATCTGAGTTGTGTCGGAGTTGAGTGCTTCAAGTTGTCTTTTATTATAATTACGGCGGCAACTTTGTTTGGTTGCTTAATTTCTCTGATTTTGGTGATGAGGACGAAGAAATTTTACAAAAGTGACATCTATAAGAAGTTCAGAGAAGCTGCCAAAACTGCAGAAATGGAAATGGCGATGGATAACCAAAACGGAGTTCGATCATAGGAGACAAATTGCAAAGATTATAATAGATAGTTTGACTATAGAAGCATTGAAATGTAATCCACAATTCCACATTCATGTTACTGTTTGGATTTTATCTGTATATTTTATCTCTTGGGCTCTCGATGTTCGTACCTTGAAGTGAGATAATATGACATAATCGCATTTTTTTCTTATTTTCGCTTTTAGACTTGGGACAAAGTAAAGGATGATTTATTGGATAGCTATTAAATGGGTACTTGAAAGAGAGAAACACTATACCAATCTATTAAATGGGTACTTGAAAGAAAGAAATACTATATCAATCCTTCATTTCAGTCTATTATTCGGGGTGTCTGAACCAATTTATGAGTATCTCAATTAATCTTTCAGAACCTTGAAACTACCAGTCAGATAAAAGTTTTAGTGACTATCTCTATTAGCAATTAAGAAAAGACTCAAATTCAAAATCTTTATTCAAGAATGTTCGAGATAGATTATGTGTATCTCAACAAATCTCTCAAGACCTTAAAATTACCAATCAGATAAGAGTTTCAGTGATTACCTTATTAATAACTAAAGAAAAACTTGAAGTCAAAACCTCTTTAATTAATGTAGACAAAAGTTTCTATCAAAGTATTCGACAAGGTTTACAAACTTCAACTAATTATTATTATAATATACGGAAATTTCCTAATATTTGAAATGGTGGTGTCTGAACTTCTTTGACCGAAACCCCAAAGGGTAAAATGTGATTAAGTCACTTTTAGACTTGTCCCAAATTAAAGGATGACTTGCTGTTGGGTAGATATTGATTGAGTACTTGAGCGGTTTAATTTGACTAACAGGTCTTTGTCCAATTCATTTCTGCTTTTCTGGTCCCAAAATGGAGCTATGCATTGATTTATATATAAAAGTTATAGTCAGTGAACACCAAACTTGAATAGTCAAAGTTTGAAAAGTTTAAAACTCGAAAACATAGATGATCTTTTCTAGAATGAGAGAAAAACAAATATGTCCTTACCTCACTCCTACTGATAGGGTTGAAGTTTGGGCCTACAACACCAAGTTGACGATAAGTAATGTTTTCCTCAGATTTACGAGGCCATCAATGCATTAGCTGTCACCCCATGTATAGATTCTTAAATCTCAATTATTTTACAGATAGTTTCATTCATGATCTCTCCGACCATTTTTTTAAACTATTAAATGGCCTATATTATAAGGTGTTGATGAGAAAATTTGTACCCATTGAAGTAAGATATGCATGTGATTACCTGTAACCAACAACATCAATAAAGCGGCTTAAACAAGTAAAGAACATTAGAGAATTTTTTTAGTGATTCAACAGTACAAGCGAAATTACAAAGGAAATGTAATGTTTTTCTCGTGAATTTTATTAAAATTGGAGTCTTCCTTTAAAACGGGGGTTATGAACTCCTTTTATATTTTGTTCGTTTGATAGTAGTTGAGAATGAGTATTACGAGATTGCATATATGCATATCCCTTAATCACGATTTAAGTCAGTAATCCAATCATGCTAATAGCACCTTAACCCATGTTTATGACTGTAATCATCTTGTAAGAGAAGATAAGCGTTGATGTGATAATACGTAGAATGATCTTAGCTGCTAGGCTTTGGTATACCTTGTGGACGCGTGACACAAATCTGATCGCCAATAAATTAGGCACAATAACAGTGTTTTTGATAATCTCAATGAATTTTTTTCATATTCTTAAAAGGTATTTANAAAAAAAAAAAAAAAAAAAAAAAAAAAGGTTGGGACCCAAAAAAATTTGCAACGCATGAAATGGGTAAATAATGAATTCTCTTAAGACCTTGAATTTTGCCCAACCCCTTGATAAATGCAGCATTGGACGTTTTGGGCTCTTATTTGGGCCCAAGTTGAGGTCTAAATGTGGAAGGTAAGAGCAACAATATGCAACAATTTTTTTTTTAAGTATTTTTTCTGAGTTTTATCATGTATTTAACTTTTAAATTTTACCAAAACTCTATGTAAACGAATCAGGAGAATTTTAAAATACAGTAACTGATTTAATTTGGAGACTATTTTACTAGAAAAAAAAAATCTAATAATTTTGAACCAATTAAGTAAGTGTTTAATCCATGAAATTTTATTTAAAGTAATAAATTCAAAGCCAATTGACAACATGTTCTTTACAGTATGCTTTCCTTTTGTGTTTGAGCCTGTAACGTATCAAAAACCTGAATCAAAATACAAAATTTAACCACAGTTTGTTTCACTCTTTTCAATTAATTTTCTGTTATTCTATTTGGATTAAAAAAAGAATATGTGTTTGTTTGCTTTTTGGGATCATTATTTTAAAAATCAATCTGAATCAAATAAGATTTTTTCATATTCTTTTTTTAATCCAAATAGAATAACAGAAAATTAATTGAAAAGAGTGAAACAAACTGTGGTTAAATTTTGTATTTTGATTCAAAAAAAGGATGGAACTTGTTTTCTATTATCCTATTCAAATATTTTTCCAATTCTATTCAACTAAAAACAATTATATTTTACAATAAAAGTTTATAAATTAATAAAAATACCCCCATTCACCCAAGCCACTATTGATCGTTAGCAACTATTGTCGACGTTGAAACGACGCACGACCAGCTGGATCTAGCTGGTCATGCACTGATCTAGCCGTTTTCGTCCATATCTATAGCTAGAGATATGGTCGTTGACAACGGCATATTTTGACTGTCGCTGACAACTAGATTTTTGCAGTCGTTGACAACTAGATTTTTGTAGTCGTTGACAGCTAGATTTTGGCCATTATCGATGACCAGAAATTTGGATGTCAACGATGGCTAGATTCTGGCCGAAAAAGGCCAAATCGTCGCACGACCGGCCAAATCCAATCGATCGTGCATCATTCCGGCGACTGCTGGTTGTTATCCGACGGTGGTGGCTGGCTGTCGGCAGTGGCTTTGTAAAACCCCTCCTTAGCTAGGTATTTCCTAAGTATCCCTTGGCAATTGAGAACCTAAAAAACGCACGCTTAAGAAAGAAGTTTATTTTAAAATCCTATTTAAAGAATAAACTTGTAGTTTAAAAAACATTTTCTTTTTTATTTTATTTCAAACTATGATAAGTTTATTGTACAAGTTAAATAATATAGTTTCCTTTCTTGGAGTAACTTATGAAATCCATAGTAATAATTACTAGAAACATACACACTTTTACAAATTTTAATAGCTATTTGATTTCCTTTATTAACACAAACATATTTACTCTATTATAGAACATGGACATATTTACTACATTATGAAATATGAGCATAATTACTACACTAAATACTAGCAGAACCATTTAATTGTCATTATTAAAACATCCCTCATGCTCATAGCGTCCCTCAGAATCCTCTCCCAGCTTCATGCCTTAAACGTTACCTGCAAAACATTTTAAAACATTTCGTGGGGTGAACGCTAATCGCTCAGTAAAGGAATATGACCATTTATAAACTATTAAGGTTCATTATACAAGTATATTGCTCAAGACCTTACTTATCTACAAGACATGACCTTCATTCATTGACATTAACAAGTTCATAAAACATGTCATACACCTTGGACTTTTCTCATAAACATGAGTCATAACATACCCATACATACTATAACATAAAATATATATGACTTATGCAATATTCATAAACATGGAATGCTTATTTCTCTTGTCTTTGTACTTGATGTTTTCATTAGTCTTTATTATCCAATCGGATTCATTTGAACCATTACCTTGTTCTTGGTCGTCACCTCAAAGAATTCATGGTTTCCATAATTATTTCTTTTTTCTGATCTTTGTTTATACCTCAAGAGACTCATGGAATTCATTCTTTAACATTTCATAAATTCGTTCATAAGTCAACTAAATAAACTATATGCATTACCATTATGAATGCAAACATATGGGATAACATCTCCCATGCTCAATCATACTATTCATTCATTTAACAAGTAACCTTGGCCAATTGCACAACTCATCAATAAATTTAGCAAAACTCCATGACATAAATATTCTCCTATTAAATTCATTAACTTAAGTCATTTAATTTCTCATACAACACAAGGAATTTCAATAGTAAGATTATTCAGTGGATTATTAGAATTTATAAAAAAAAAAAAAAAAAGATGGGAATTTCTATTAAGGAGGTGGATGCCATATAGTTTGTCACTTTTCAAGCAATGTTTTCCTCATCTTACAATTCGAATTGATTTTTGCCTAAAACATAAAAGTTTTAGGTCTAATTCTTAACTTTTTAATACTTCAAGAATCAGATCAATCAGACTTTTATCACTTCAGTTATGACCGATTCAATGAAGCATGTACAGTATTAGTCTTAAAAAACCAAATCTGAATTTTATTCATTTTTAACCATGCCACATTCATTTGCACATTCATAGTATTTTCCATGTCATTCTAAGTATAAAAAGCCGTAAAAACCTCCCTTTTTACAGAACCAAAAAGTGCCAAAACATCCTCCAACTACAAATCTCTTAATTGGCATAATCATCCTCCATATGCACACATACACCAATCAACACACCCATTTACACAATCCATAACCAAAACATAGCATCACACTCAAAGTAACATAAATAGATGTAAGTTTCATCAACCCTAGGTGTTATCAATTGTAGTCATAAGGGAGATTTTTTCCTTACCTTAGTATTCAAAGCACAAAGACACCCCTCCTTAGCTCTAAAGGTTCACCATTTCTACCTTACACACATAACCACTTATGAATTTCTCTTTTAACTAAAAATCAGGATAACTAGGGTTTTGAAACTCACCTTAAACCCTAAAATTGAAGTTCTTTAAGTGTGGATGGTGATCTCCTTTGAAATTTAACTTGAACTCCTATGAAAATTTTGAGAGAAAGAGAGAGCTTGAATTTAAGCCTTTGATGGAGGAGAATGAGACTTGAAGAAGAGAGTTTGATGTTCTAAGAGTGTTGGCCGACTTAACCAAGGAAATATCTTATAAATATTTTATTTTTTTAATTCCCAAATGGGATTGGCCATCAAAAGTTTGAGATATGGGTCATTTGGTATAAATTTTGCATATAAGGGCATTTTGGTCATTTCTACTACAACATAATGATTAACACTCATTTAATGTCATTTGAATTCTTTTAAACACTTAGTAATTAAGCAATCCTATTAGGTAAATGACTAATTTACCCTTGGTGCACTTTTATGGATACTTAATTCATATGGATTTGTATGAAAAGACCATTATACCCTTGGTTACCATTTACGCCATTTAACCATATCAATCAACTCTATGACCATTCTACCCTCATTTATCTTCAATGACATCACCCCTTACACTTTATAATGGCCACATCTCGAAATGCATGCAAATTGACCATTTTACCCTTCCATTCAAAAAAAGAAAATTACTTCAAAAGGTATATTTCATACCTTAGGGCATCGGAATAATAACATGGGGTTTACAATCATCCCCACTTATAAGAATTTCGTCCTCGAAATTCAGTTGAAGAGGTCTGGATATCTTTCCTTCATATCTTGCTCAACCTCCCATGTCGCTTCTTCTACATTATGATTCCTCCACAGTATTTTAACAAGCAGTACTTTCTTATTTCGGAGCTCTTTTATTCTTCTATCCAGAATCTGAACTGGACGTTCTTCATAAATTAGTTCATCTTTTAACTCCACTTCATTTGCTTGTAGTATATGCAAAGGATCACTAACATACTTTCGCAATAGGAAAACATGGAAAACATTATGGATCCGGTCCATACTGGCTAGTAAGGCAAGTCTGTAAGCTATTTTGCCCACTTTCTCTAATACCTCATATGGACCGATATATCTAGGGGCAAGCTTCCCTTTTCTTCCAAACCTCATCATCCCCTTATAAGGAGAGATTTTCACAAACACTTTGTCTCCTACTTGGAACTCTATATCCTTTCTTTTCGGATCTGCATAGCTCTTCTGTCTGTCTTGGGCCTGCTTCATTCTCTCTCGGATTAACTTTACATCTTCTATCATTTTTTGTGTCATTTCTGGACCAAGAGCTTGAGCTAATGCATTCTTTTCTCTTATTTCTTCCCAATGTAATGGAGATCTATATTTCCTTCCATATAATGCTTCATGTGGTGCCATTTTAATGGTTGCTTGATAACTATTGTTATAAGCAAATTCAACTAGAGGGAGAATGTCACACCAATTCAACTTGTGATCCATACAGCAAGCCCGTAACATATCCTCCAATATTTGATTCGTTCTTTCTGTCTGTCCATTTGTCTAAGGATGATAGGCTATGCTGAAATTAAGCCTAGTATCAATGCCTTCTGCATGCTACTCTATGACATAAATTTTACATCCCTATCTAAGACAATACTACTAGGTACTCCATGTAATCTTACTAATTCTTTGACATATAATTGCCCCAACTAATCAGAGGAGATCTTGTCTGTAACTGGAATGAAATGAACAGATTTAGTCAATCTATCTACAATCACCCAAATGGTATTATAGACCTTTTGCACTCTAGGAAGACCTAAAATGAAATCCATAGAAATATCTTCCCATTTTCACGAAGGAATACTAAGGGGCTGCAATAATCCTGAAGGGCGCTGATGTTTTGCTTTAACCTGCTAGCACACCAAGCATCTGATAACATACTCAGTTACATCTTTCTTTAACCCTGGCCACCAATAGCTCTTCCTCAAATCCTGATACATCTTTACACTCCCTAGATGAGCAGTGTAAAGAATACTATGTGCTTCCTCTAAAATCTTCTTTCTCAATTCAATATCCTGAGGAACATACACCCTGTCTCTAAATTTCAGGATTCCATTCACCCATTTGAATTCTGATTTTCTGCCATCTTTCAACTGCTGCTCAATTCCTTTACTAAACCCATCATCCACTTGTTTTTCTCTAATTTCCTCTAACAACTTAGACCGAACTTCAATTTTGGACAATTTCCCAATCTCCAACTCTATCCCCTCCTTCATTATCTCTTGTTGTAGGTGCTTCTGAAAAGTTAGCTGAGCTAATGAGACTTTCCTGCTAAGGGCATCTGCAACTACATTAGCTTTCCCTGGCTAATACATAATATCACATTCTTCACCAGCTCAAGCCATCTTCTCTGCCTCATATTCAATTCTTTCTGCGTGAAAAAGTATTTTAGACTTTTGTGATCTGTGTAAATATGACATTTCACCCCAAAAAGATAATGTCTCCAAATCTTCAAAACAAAAACTACAGCTGCTAATTCGAGATCATGAGTTGGATACCTATTTTCATAGTCTTTCAACTGACGAGAGGCATAAGCAACCACCCTGTCTTTTTGCATCAATACTGCCCCCAAACCATTGTGAGAAGCATCAGTATAAATATCATAATCTACTCCATCCTCTGGAAGAGTTAAAACAGGAGCAGTAGTTAATCTTCTTTTCAATTCTTGGAAACTCTTCTCACAAGTTTCAGTCCATCTAAACAGGGCTTCTTTTTTTGTCAAAGCTGTGAGTGGAGAAGCTAATCTAGCAAACCCTTCCACAAATTTCTTGTAATATCCTGCTAAACCAAGAAAACTTCTAACTTTTTTTACAGTCTTTGGTCTTGGCCATTCAATCACTGCTTCAATCTTACTTGGGTCCACTGAAATACCCTTTTGTGAAACAACATGTCCTAAGAATGTTACTTGATCCAACCAAAACTCACATTTGGAGAACTTAGCATATAACTTTTTCTCCTTTAGTCTTTGTAACACAAATCTCAAATGCTCTTCATGATCTTCCTTTGTTTTGGAATAAACCATGATATCATCTATAAAAATTACTAGAAATTTATCTAGACAATCATGAAAAATCCTATTCATCAAATCCATGAATACCGCTGGTGCATTAGTCAATCCAAATGGCATCACTATAAATTCATAATGCCCTTATCTGGTTCGGAATGCAGTCTTGGGAATATCCTTGTCAGCGACCCTCACTTGATGGTAGCCTGACCGAAGATCAATATTGGAAAACACCTGAGCTCCCTTTAACTGATCAAACAAGTCATCAATTCTTGGCAATGGATACTTGTTTTTCACTGTTAGCTTATTGAGCTCCCTATAATAGATACACATTCTCATCGAACCATCTTTTTTCTTGACAAATAAAATAGGAGCTCCCTATAGAGAATGACTGGGTCGAATGAAACCTTTATCTAACAACTCTTGAAGCTGTTTCTTTAACTCTTGTAACTCTGCTGGAGCCATTCTATATGGGGCCTTAGATATTGGTGCCGTACCAGGAGCTAACTCTATAAAAATTCCATTTCCTTTTTTGGAGGAAGTCTTGGCAAATCTTCTTGAAATACATCTTCGAATTCTCGTACTATGGGTGCATCCTGAACACTAAAGTCTGGAAACTTTTTTTTATTCACCACATTAGCTATGGTACCCTGTACAACCCTTCCTTATCATCTTCATTGCCTTCACTGCACTTATCATCAGACTATGTAGATGACATTCCCCAAAAGTGAAACTGTCTTCAGCATCTAAATTAAATTTGGCCTTCTTCTTTCGACAGTCTATCAATACTCCATATTTACTCATGAAGTCCATTCCCAAAATCAGGCATATAAAAAACAATCAAATCAACATTCAACTCATGCCTATCAATTGCTACAGTTTCCCCTAGGGGTGTTATCGAGCCGAGTTTTCGGCTTATTGAGCTTGGCTCGTGAGAGAGGAAGAGTAAACTAGCCGAGACTGAGTTGAGCCGAGTCAGAAATTATGTGGCTCGGCTCGACTCGATAATGGATTTGGCATATTTCGAGCCAGCTTATTGAGCCGAGTTTGAGCCAGCTTGCGAGCCATCTCCAAATAATTTTGTTTTTTTTTTTTTATTCAATTTTTTTTACAAAAATTTGGGCAACTTAACGAGCTGGCTCGCGAACCAAGTAAAAAGCATGCAATTTTTTTTTCAAAATTCGGTGCAGCTTTTCTCCTCCCTCATTTATTACTCTTTCTTTTCACTCTCTCTCATTTATTACTGTCTTTCACTTCTTTCCTCTCTAATTTATTATTGATTTGCCTTCTTTTCTCTCTCCAAACTCAATGGCAATGGTTCACGTTTCTCTTTTTTTTTTTTTTTTCCTTTTCTCCCTGTTCCCCTTGATCTCTCCAGTCTCCATAACTTTGAAGTTATTCTGGTCCTCTTTTTATTACTCTTTGCTTTCTCTTATTTTCTCTTTCTAATGACGCCTGTTTCTCCTATTTTCTCTTTCTTTCCTTTTTTTTCTCCTTTTTTCTTATTTTCTCTTTCTTCCTTTCATTCTTTCTTCTTGTTTCCCTGGCACTCTCCAGTCTCCACCAACTCTGATTTCTTTCCTCCTTTTTTCTCCTTGTTCCCTGCACTCTCCACCAAATCTGACGCCGACTGCCTAAAATGGTTTGATTTAGTTTAGTTTTAGGAGAAAGGATTTTAGTCGCGTTTTTAGGGATTTTAACATCGGGGTGTTCTTTGTCATTTTTGCAAACTTTTTGTTTTAAAAATTTTAGTTTAATCCCTTATACTTAATAAAACCCCTAAAACGCGCCTAATAATTCGAGCCTGACTCAGCTCGCGAGCCTAACGAGTTGAGTCGAGGCAGGCTCGAACTCGGCTCGTGTTCTCTCACGAATCAAGCCGAGCCGGCTTGATTTCAGACAAGACGAGCCGTTAACGAGCCGTACTCGAGCCGAGTCGGCTCGCGAGCGGCTCGCCTCGTTGAACAGTCCTAGTTTCCCCCATTAACAACTTATCAGCAAAATAATTCTTCCCATTAGGCATCTCAATTTTAATAGCATGTTCCACTTTACTAGGCTCTAAAACTAATTTTTTTATAATATCATATGAGATAAAAGAATGGGTAGCCCCATAATCAATCAATACATAAAAAGAGGTGGAGTGGAATTGTAACTGACCAGTAACTGCAGATGGATTGGCTTCGGCTTCTTTCTAAGCCACTCAGTAAACTCTAGCAGTCGAACCTCCAACAGTTTGAAGGGAAGTAGCCAGAGTAACTTTACAGTCCTTTGCCATATGTCCCGACTGTTTACATTTGAAATACACATTGGTCCCTAATAAACAATCCCTCTTATGCTGCCTCCCACATTTTTGACAATGGGGAAGATTATTTCTTCTCTGTTGTTGCTATGAAGTCCTCTTATTCTTGCCACCCTTCTTTTGAAATCCTTGTTGAAACTTTCCTTTACCTTTGTCCTTCGGGGCCTTAGTGGAATTCCCCACTTCAACTTTTTGAACTGCTGTCTGGCCCGAACTAGAATTACCGATCACCAACTTGGGATTCTCCATCTGCCTTTCCTTATTTACATAAATCTCTGCTCTTAATGCTCATTCTAGGGCCTCACTGTAAGTCTGAGGAGGTTGACCACCCGCTATAACAATCTGGGCAACTTTTGGGTGTAATCCATTAACAAATCTCTCTAACCGGCACTGTTGAGTACTCACCACGGTAGGAGCAAAACATGCTAGGGAGTTAAACATTGTAGCATGCTCTCTAACAGTCATATTACCTTGCTTCAATTCCGTGAAATCTTGAGTCTTTACGGATAACATGTCTGCCGACCGGTATTCTGCTTCAAATAGCCTTTTGAATTCATTCCAAGAAAGGGCACTCGTCACATAGGTATGCTCCATTAGCTTCCACCATACCCGAGCATCTCCTTTTAACAAATAGGAAGCATAGCGAACTTTTTCCTGGTCACTCATAGGAAACAAACCCATTGCCTGTTCGATAGTCTTTAACCACTCCTCTGACACCCCCGGATCGTTTGAACCACTGAACTCTGAAGGTTGGTGCTTTTGAGAAAGATTATAGATTGGTTCTACTTGTTTAGAAGGTATAGCACCCATCGGCATAACTGGTCCGGTTATTGGAGGTGGAACTGGTATTTGGAGTTGAGGCTAAACTAATGGAATTGAGGGATTTGCGTTCACTTGGTTACTTATACTTTCCGGGATAACCCTCCTAAAGGCCTCACTAATGGCTGCGTGAATCATCCTATTGATTACAGCGTCATCCAAAATAGAAGCATTTTGGATAGAAGTAGCTAGTCCACTATATGGTGGCGCATTGGTAGTCGGTGCTACTGGCTCACTAGTGCTTGCTTCATTAACATTCTCCTCGCCCCTCCTATTAACATTTCGTGAACACCTCGTAGCCATACCCTTTACTCACACAAATTTCAATCAGCATTAGCTAATTCTATTCACTAAGCAAGTAAAGAAAACACTTACAACAATCGGCTGGAGAGAGTATCTTAGGGACGTATGAGGAATGATACTTCCATTACTTACAAACACCATTTCCAACATCAATTAAATATAAAATAGCTATAATAATTCAATCAAAACATCATTTCGAACACCCAAAATCGTGCTCTGATACTAACTATAAAATCCCTCCCTAACCGGGTATTTCCTAAGTATCCATTGGCCATTGAGAACCTAGAAAACGCGCGCCTTGGAAAGAAGTTTATTTTAAAATCCTATTTAAAGAATAAACTTGTAGTTTAAAAAACATTTTCTTTTTTTTATTTCTAAACTATGATAAGTTTATTGTACAAGTCAAATAATATAGTTTCCTTTCTTGGAGTAAATTATAAAATCCATAGTAATAATTACTAGAAACATACACACTTTTACAAATTTTACTAGCAATTTGATTTCCTTTATTAACACAAACATATTCACTCCATTATAGAACATGGACATATTTACTACATTATGAAATATGAGCATAATTATTGCACTAAATACTAGCAGAACCATTCAATTGTCATTATTAAAACATCCCTCATGCTAATAGCGTCCCTCGGAATCCCCTCCCAGCTTCATCCCTTAATCCTTACCTGCAAAACATTTTAAAATATTTCATAGGGTGAGCACTAATCGCTCAGTAAAGGAATATGGCCATTTATAAACTATTAAGGTTCATTATACAAGTATATTGCTCAGGACCTTACTTATCTACAAGACATGACCTTCGTTCATTGACATTAACAAGTTCATAAAACATGTCAAACACTTTGGACTTTTCTCATAAACATGAGTCATAACATACCCATACATACTATAACATAAAACATATATGACTTATGCAATATTCATAAACATGACATGCTTATTTCTTTTGTCTTTGTACTTGATGTTTTCATTAGTCTTTATTATCCAATCAGATTCATTTGAACCATTACCTTGTTCTTGGTTGTCACCTCAAAGGACTCATGGTTTCCACAAAGATTCCATTTCTCTGATCTTGGTTTATACCTCAAGAGACTCATGGAATTCATTTTTTAACATTTCATGAATTCGTTCATAAGTTAACTAAATAAACTATATGCATTACCATTATGAATGCAAACATATGGGATAACATCTCTCATGCTTAATCACACTATTCATTCATTTAACATGTAACATTGGCCAATTGCACAGCTCATCAATCAATTTAGCAAAACTCCATGACATAAATATTCTCCTATTAAATTCATTAACTTAAGTCATTCAAGTTCTCATACAACATAAGGAATTTCAATAGTAAGATTATTTAGTGGATTATTAGAATTTAAACAAAAAAAAAAAAAAAAAAAAGATGGAATTTCTATTAAGGAGGTGGATGCCATACAGTTTGTCACTTTTCAAGCAATGTTTTCCTCATCTTACAATTTGAATTGATTTTTGCCTAAAACATAAAAGTTTTAGGTCTATTTCTTTATTTTTTAATACTTCAAGAATCAGATCAATCAGACTTTTATCACTTCAGTTGTGACCGATTCAATGAAGCATGTGCAGTATTAGTCTTAAAAAGCCAAATCCGAATTCTATTCATTTTTAGCCATGCCACATTCATTTGCACATTCGTAGTATTTTCCATGTCATTCTAAGTATGAAAAGCCATAAAAACCTCCCTTTTTACATAACCAAAAAGTGCCAAAACATCCTCCAACTACAAATCTCTTAATTGACATAATCATCCTCCATATGCACACATACACCAATCAACACACCCATTTACACAATCCATAACCAAAACATAGCATCACACTCAAAATAACATAAATAGATGTAAGTTTCATCAACCCTAGGTGTTATCAATTGTAGTCATAAGGGAGATTTTTTCCTTACCTTAGTATTCAAAGCAAAGGACACCCCTCCTTAGCTCTAAAGGTTCACCATTTCTACCTTACACACATAACCACTTATGAATTTCTCTTTTAACTAAAAATCAGAACAACTAGGGTTTTGAAACTCACCTTAAACCCTAAAATTGAAGTTCTTTAAGTGTGGATGGTGATCTCCTTTGAAATTTAACTTGAACTCCTATGAAAATTTTGAGAGAAAGAGAGAGCTTGAATTTAAGCCTTTGATGGAGGAGAATGAGACTTGAAGAAGAGAGTTTGATGTTCTAAGAGTGTTGGCCGACTTAACCAAGGAAATATCTTATAAATATTTTATTTTTTTAATTCCCAAATGGGATTGGCCATCAAAAGTTTGAGATATGGGTCATTTGGTATAAATTTTGCATATAAGGGCATTTTGGTCATTTCTACTACAACATAATGATTAACACTCATTTAATGTCATTTGAATTCTTTTAAACACTTAGTAATTAAGCAATCCTATTAGGTAAATGACTAATTTACCCTTGGTGCACTTTTATGGATACTTAATTCATATGGATTTGTATGAAAAGACCATTATACCCTTGGTTACCGTTTACGCCATTTAATCATATCAATCAACTTTATGACCATTCTACCCTCATTTTTCTTCAATGACATCACCCCTTACACTTTATAATGGCCACATCTTGAAATGTATGCAAATTGACCATTTTACCCTTCCATTCAAAAAAAGAAAATTACTTGAAAAATTAAATTTCATACCTTAGGGCATCAGAATAATAACATGAGGTTTACAGGCTTGGGTAGGGGGTGTTTTTGTTAATTTATAAACTTTTATTATGAGGGTATTTAGTTAAATTAACAAATGTAGAAGGTTAAAAAAATCTAAATATTTTCAAAAAATGTTTTCAAAAAAATATATAAAATAGCTATTTTAATTTTTATCCAACTCTGATATAGTTTTAAGATAGATTATGAAAATCTTATCCTATTTTGTTTAATTTTATCCTATCCATATTAGATAGTTTTACAGGATAGCAATTTTTCCAAAATAAGCTACCAGATTAACGGCCCTAATTTTCCGATAACGCCAAATCCTTTTCGGGTCACATTCAGCTCCATAATCCTCGGAAATTTTATCCAGCTAAATTTCGAGTTTTCCACCTTTCCTCCCAACATTTTTGCACTTACTATTCAATCCAAAACCATCACTCTTAAGAACATCACTACACAACTATGCCTACTGAAAGCGGTGGCTCTGGTGGTAGCTGTTGCTCGTTCTTGCTACAAGTTATACGTGGAAGATGGTTCATGATGTTCGCTTCCTTCTTAATCATGGCCGGCGCCGGCGCAACTTATCTATTCGGCGTTTATTCCAAAGAGATTAAAGCAACTCTAGGCTACGATCAAACAACTCTCAATATTCTAAGCACATGCAAAGACCTCGGCGCCAATATCGGAGTCCTCTCTGGGCTCCTGGCCGAGATTGCGCCTCCCTGGTTTGTCCTCCTCGTCGGTGCTGCCATGAACTTTGCCGGGTATTTCATGATCTGGCTCGCCGTGATGAGGAAAATCGCCAAACCGAAGGTTTGGCAAATGTGTATGTACATTTGTATCGGCGCAAATTCTCAGAATTTCGCCAACACGGGCTCACTCGTTACTTGTGTTAAGAATTTTCCTGAGAGTAGAGGCATGATGTTGGGGATAATGAAAGGATTTGTGGGATTGAGTGGGGCGGTTTTTACTCAACTTTATCTTGCAATTTATGGGAACGATGCGAAATCTATGATTCTTCTTATTGGGTGGCTGCCGGCCTTGATTTCTATAGTGTTTGTTTATACTGTCAGAACGCTGAAGGTTTCTAGTCATCCGAATGAGCTTAAAGTTTTCTATCAATATCTTTATATCACAATTGCAATGGCTTTGTGTTTAATGGGATTAACCATAGCTCAAAAACAAGTTGATTTTTCACATTATGGTTATGTAGGAAGCGCCATTGTTGTTTGTGCTTTCATTTGCATGCCTCTTTTGATAGCATTTAGAGAAGAATACGCCACTTGGAAACTCAAAAAACATCGGGCTCCGGCTCCTACAAGTATTGTTGTTCATGAACCAGCGAAAAAATCTGAAATTTCAGAGATTGAAGAAGAACCACAAACCCAGAATAAAGAAGATCATGATGAAGTTCCATGCTGTGGGAACATTTTCAAGAAGCCGAAGAGAGGCGAAGACTATGGAATTTTGCAGGCGCTTTTGAGTGTGGACATGTTGATTCTTTTCATGGCGACATTCTGTGGACTCGGCTGCAGCTTAACTGCAATGGACAATCTCGGCCAAATCGGTGAATCTTTAGGCTATCAACAACACGTAGTCAACACATTTGTTTCACTTGTCAGCATTTGGAATTACTTCGGCAGAGTTTTCGCGGGCTTCGTTTCCGAAATCATTCTCTTAAAATACAAAGTCCCCCGCCCTCTTATAATGGCAATCGCCCTGATCCTCTCCGCCATTGGCGACCTCCTAATCGCATTCCCCATTCCGGGTTCAGTCTACATTGCTTCGCTACTCGTGGGGTTCTCGTTTGGGGCGCAATTGACGCTGCTTTTCATCATCATATCGGAGCTTTTCGGGTTGAAATATTACTCGACGCTCTTCAACTGCGGCCAACTGGCCAGCCCGCTCGGCTCGTATGTGCTCAATGTGGTTGTTGTGGGGAGATTTTACGATAGAGAGGCGATGAGGCAGCTTGCGGAGAAGGGATTAACGAGAGCGATGGTGAAGGAGCTGACGTGCATTGGGAAGGAATGTTACCGGCTCTCCTTCTCCATTCTCGCTGGTGTTAACGTTTTCGGAGCTCTCGTCACGTTTATTTTGGTGATGAGGACTCGTAAATATTATAGCGGAGATATATATGAGAAATTCAGGAAAGAAATTGCTGCTAATGAGAAGAAAAATCAAGCTGCTGGAAATTGAAAATAATTAACAAAAAGTTGTTGATTTTTTTTTTTATTTTTTTTTTATTTTTTTGAGATTGGGGGTGTCAATTTGTAGTTTTTATTTTTTGTCTGAGGTTGCATCGATTCATTAATAAGATGATGTCATTAGCTTTGTGTAAATACAAATTGATTCATCTAACACATTGATTTATTGCATTTCTTGAGTTAATTGAAAATTATAAACATCGGTTCTAAGAGTTAATTACTTTTGAAATTCTTTTTACCGTAAATATTTTTTTTTTTGAATTTTTTTATAAGATTTTAAATAAACTATTTTAAACGTATAAAATTTTAAATAAAAAACTCAAAATTTGAGATAATATTAAATTTTAAAAAAATCCTATTTTAAAATTTTGACTTGTGTATTAATACTTTTTTGATTAATTAGTATTAGATACATTTTTTTAGTACTTTTTAACTATTTTTTTTTTTAAAACTCTATTTGAATATACACGGTATCGATATTAATTTTTTAACTATATTACTTCTGATGTATAGATAAAAACAAAAAATTGTGGATAAATTATTGTAAAATATTTACCAAATGGAAATTTAATTTTTAACTATTGCATTTGATGTATAGATAAAGAAAATGTGCATAAATTATCTTCATTTGGTTCATTATTTGATGATTTTTAGAATAGCATTTTGAAAAAAAAAAAGTAAAATTGGGTTATCTTTACGAGAAAGATAATTATTAATGTTTTGTGAGATGAATAAAGTAGAATAGAATTTTGAGAATATTGAAAGCTCCGTTTGGCTTATTATTTCTACCCATATTTCTAATCATATTCCCTAAATATTGTTTGGCACATTATTTGAGAAATATTAGTTTATTTTTAATTACTTTTAGACCCCTTAAGTTTATTAATTTCAAAATACCCCCAGAAAAAAGTTTAAAAATTAACAAAATCAGTCCCATTCACCAATACTTGTCAGATTCCAGCAACCATCGCCGGTGGTAGCCGGAATCTGTCATAACGGTCTACACCACCACCGGAAATGGCCGGTAATTCACTGATCTGGCCTTTTCCGGCCAGATCTGCCAAATCTAACCGTTAGCGACGGCCAAAGAAAAGGTCGTTGTTGACGGTCAACGACGACCGAATCTTGGCCATCGTTGATAGACAACGACAGCCATATCTTTGGCCGTTGCTGACGGCCAAAGATGGACATTTGCGGCCGTCGACAGCCATATCTGGCCATAGATCTGGTCTTTTCCGGCAAGATCAGTGGTGGATTTGGCCGGAAAATGCCATATCAATGCCCTACCCGCCAGATCCGATCAGTCTGTGGTGTAACGTAATTTTTCGGCCAGATTCTGGTGGTGGTAGTCGGAATCTGGCACTGTAGGTGGTGGGGGTATTTTTATTATTTAAAAAAATTTTATATATTGGGGTGTTTATTAAATTAGCAAATTTAGGAGGTTTTTTATAAATTTTTAAATTTTACCTTGTAATACTCCCCTATTCAATTATCTAATATTATTCCCAAAATCTTATCCAAAATAGTAAAATAAATAAACCTGAAATAAATGTATTTTTGAATTTTTAGGATATAATAGTAGAATAGAATAGGGATATAATATTGAACCAAATCAAGCAAGTATCTAATTAAAATTATTTTTTAAATATGCCGTTCCAAACAGATATTAACTCTTTAAACATTTCACTTAATATATGGATTAGAAATTTAGGATAAATTATTATTCAATTAAAATTATTTTTTATCTAATACTATAAAAGAGAAAGAAGAAAAAGTGAATCAAAATAATATACGTAATAATATTCGAACTGCCAAAAAATTCCCGTTGAAAATTTCTCTGACAGAAGTCGATTCATTTCGGTGTTTCTCTTCCACGTATGCCCTCATCGAAATGTTAGAAATACAGAACTCCTTCGCGTGCAAACAAGGGACAAACTAGTAAAATCACGACAGAGCTACCAAATATCCAACTAATCCAAGTAAAGACCTGCTCACAGTTTTACTTTTCCCAGCAGTCACACTCACAAAACAGTGGGGAGCCAAACAGTCTTCTTCTCGCTCTCAAAAACGACTCGCTTCATGTTTTTCATTTCTCTAAATCGCTGCGCATTGTGACGTTTGATTTAACGGAAACAAAATGGTTAACAACAAAGGAAAGTCGATCGCCGTCGGAAGAGAAACTTACGGCAAGAGGAAGCGGAAAGGCGCCGTTGGAGGAGCCGCAGACGTCGGTGATAACTCTCGCCGGAGGCAGAGGAAAAACCCTGGCGTTCTCCAGTTTTTTGAAGACACTGCTGCCGTGGACGACGACGACGACGAAGAATCTGATTCCAGTGACGACGATGACGCCGGCTTCAACGATGAAGGTATATTGCCGAGGAGTATTGTTTATTTTTTATTTTTTAGTTTTTTATTTGCATTTTGTGTTTTCTGTTAGTTATTTTAGGGTTACGAGTTTTGCTTTGTGGTTGCATTGTGTTTTGATTGACATTTTAGGGTTTGAAGGTAAAATGTTTATGGAATGATGGGATTTTATGTCGTTGTATATAGGTTGTTTGTTGTTGTTTGTGAAATTGATGTTGTGTTTGTCTTCATTTGCTGTTTAGTGTGATTGCGAGGGTTTGTGTTGAAAATGGTGGTGATTGAGGGCTTCTGGGTCTCATTATTTAGATGATTAGTATGTTTGATGGTACTACTGTGGTGTCTTTTGTGATTTGAATTGTTTCTTTAATGAAAGTGTGGGTGCTGTTTCTGTAAAATAATAATGTCAGGTGGTTTTTTTATTTTTTTGGGGAAATTTTAGGATTTTGTGTTCTCTCTGGTAGAGGAACTGTGATGATTGACAGTGTTTATCAGCTTTGTTTTTGTAAGTAGGGTTTTGAGGTTATTTTGGAGCTTGTCTTAGCGTGAAAAATGATGAGAGTAAATGACTTTTTTCCATCCGAACAATGGCCTAATGACACTTTCCCACCCAAAAAGTTTCAAAATACAAACTTTACTACCCAAACGTTATGTTCCATTAAATACATTGATATTCATTGTGAAGATGAAAATATCTTTTATCATTTGACGAAAATACAGTGATCCGCCCTCTTTCTCCATCTTGGTCTCGGTTTACAAAAACAAAAGGCCCTTAGCACCTCAGGACGGGAGTGGGGGGCAGCCCTACACGCAGGCAACAGGAACACCGACTCCACAAAGTCAGAATCAGCAGGCGGTATTGTCGCTCGGACGATGAATGGCAAGCAAGTGGGCAGCGCGGTGGTGGGGGTTTTGTAGAAGTAGGGGGTGGTGACGGCTTGGATTTTGGCCACCAGATTCGGTTGGAAGCGGTGAAACCCTAATCCAAGCGGCGCCAGAAAATGGTGGGAGCAATCAGGCAATAGTCAAGGGGGTTTTGGAGTATGGAGGTGGGTTTTGGAGTATAGAGGTTAGGGCATCTGGTGGTGGTGACGGCTTGGATTTTGGCCATCGGAATCGACCGTTCGAGATGCGGAGTCGTTGAAAACGGCTAGAAAATTCACTTAATCAACACACAAACATTTCAATTCAACCAATCACCCCAAAGAGACAGACAAATCCGCCTAAACAAACTCTTAAATAACTCCAATCAAAACCCAAACAAAAAATTCGCTCGAGAAACCCTAGAAGTTGTCGACGGCGAACAGAGAGTAAACTCTGTTCAGGCTATTGGGGCTTTTGAAGAGGGAGGCCGATGAGTCTTTTGGTGGTGACAGGTTGGATTTTGGTGGTTGAAATTGGTTGGAATCTGACTTGGGAGGGGCGGTTTCGCCTTCCACAAATTGCTTGATTGCCAGCGATTGGTGAGGTTGGTGGCAGCAAGGTTTGAGGGGGTTTTGGTGAGTGATGATCGGGGAAGAGAATGGTGGTGGTGTGGGGTCACAATGATGCCAAAATCGGCCGGTGAGCACAAATGGCTGCTGGAGCTGTGAAAAGCCGGCCAAAAAGGGGTCGGTTTGGCTGGGCAAGAGTACCATTCTACCCTTACTTATAACGGAGTTTTGACTATCCTGTCCTTTTTCACAACAAAATTTATTAACGGAATTGTGCTTTGGGTGGTAAAGTTGAATTTTGAAGCTTTTTGGGTGGGAATGTGTCATTAGGCCATTATTTGGATGGGAAAAAGTTGTTTACTCAAAATGATAATTGCGATGTTTTCTGTAATGAATCCTTGTTCCTTTATCTTTTGCAAAAGGTGATGATTTTGGTGAAATGTTAGATACCCAGACTCTCACCTTCAGTCACCACTTACTCAGAACCCAGCAACACACAAACTCCAGAATACCACAAGCAACACAGATAAGCAACCCAGAACAGTCAAGCAAACACTATTCGAAATTAATATATATCTATTGATTGAATTCCAGCCGATACACTAGTTAATTCTACCAACAAAAATCAACATCAACAAGAACAGAACAGAACAGAACAGAACTGTCTACCCTTTTATCCTATTCTTCATGACAAACTTCTTCAATCATCCACTTCGTTAATGCCATCTGCCCCAACTCACACACAAGAACCTTCCTGCCAACTGCACCAAAATCCCCTACTTTGCACCCTTATGTTTCCTACAATAGACCAACACACTAGGGGTCTCATCAGTGAATTAGTGGTTTTATGTAGGTTTAGAGTGTTTTTTTTTTTCTTGTGTGTGAAATGAATATTATGATGATTGATTTTTTTTTTAATTTTTCAAAATTTTCTGCAATAGGTATTTTGTGAGGTTTATTAGGATTCTGAAAATGGTTTGGTTTGGTTTAGTTTGTTTTCTTGTGCCTTTTGGTTATTTTTGTTTCTGATAACTTAAGTTCTGAGGTTTTTGATACATTGCCCAATTTTTGCATTTTATTTAAACTGAACCCCCTCCTTTGAATTTGTGAGAATAGATTTTATGCAAGAAGAAGTTGCTGCACAACTGAAAGTAAATAACGAACAAGGAAAATCTTATAACCTTCCATTCTTTCCCAAGGAAGAGGTAATAGATGAGGTAGAATTTGACAAATTGATGGAAGAACGTTACAAGGACGGTTCTAATTTTGTCAGTTATGTGGGAGATGATTATGAGTCCAAAAGAATGGTTGACAGTAATTACCATATGGCTTATCATAAGGATCCAATCGTCTGGAAGGTCAAATGCATGGTATGATATTTGGAATATTGCTTTTATAATTGTTTCAATGGAATTTTTAATCGATTTCCTTAATTATACTTTTTTTTTTGGTGTTCTTGTTTCTCTTTTGTTCACTTTATACATCTTTGTTGTAGGTTGGACGTGAGAGGCACTCGGCTTTTTGTCTGATGCAGAAGTTTGTAGATTTGCAATCATTTGGTACCAAACTGCAGATAATATCCGCATTTTCCATTGACCACATAAAGGGTTTTATTTACATTGAAGCTGATAAACAAGCTGATGTTAATGAGGTATTTTACATATTGGGTTTTGATGATTGTCTATGATTTGGTTATTAACAGTACAAATACATTTGCTTCAATGATGCATATGTTTGACTTCAGGCGTGTAAAGGACTTTCTGGTATATATACTTCGAGAATGGCCCCAGTTCCCCAGAATGAAGTTTCACATTTGTTCTCTACCCGCATCAAGTATAATGAAGTTTCTGTGGGCACATGGGCCTATGTGAAGAGTGGAAAATATAAGGGGGATTTGGCACAGGTCATATTTTTTAGAGTAGCATGACTACCTTTCTACTTGATTTTAGTACTTTGCTAAGTCAATTCTTTTTTTAGGTCGTGGCTGTGAACAATGCACGGAAAAGAGCGACTGTGAAGCTAATCCCAAGAATTGATTTACAAGCATTGGCTGCAAAATTTGTAATCAAATTTCTTACCTCTTAAGTTTGCTTTTTAGTTTTTGCTGTTGATGTTTGTTGCTTTTCTAAATACAGTCTAATATAAATAGATGACTGCATGCTGCCCTGTAATCTTTACCATATTAATGTTCTTAGTGGAACGGAGTAGAGCAACAGAATGGGAAAGAATTTTTCTCCGTGTGGATAAAAATGGTGAAGAACCACTGATTTAGTTGCTCTTTACTTGCAAAAGTAGTGCCTGACTCCTCTTGAGGATAGTCTTTCTTGAAGCGGCCTCTTAGTGAAGTTGTCTAGCCTCAATGGAAAGATCTTTTTATTGAATGGGATGTTAGCGGGAACCCTTCAAGTTGATAGGCATTCTACAGTTGGACAAATCATAAGGATGACATGCCTTGATGTATAGTACAATTTTTGGCAACAACCCATAAACAACTACTTGTAATGGGGTCCAAAAAGATAAAATGTTGAGCTTGTTGGTAGTTACTAAGAGATGAACGATTGAGTATGCTCTGTGTCAGTGCCAATTTTGAAGGGAAGGTGTAGTGCTGTGCACATTGTCTAATCATTTTAATATCATGATTGTAATGGTTTATTCTAGTTAGAGACTTATGAGTACTTGACAATTACTGACCTTTGAGAGTTTGACTGGAGAGTTATCTGTATGAAATTTGTGCTGCCTTTTCGCATAATCATATTCTGTTCATTTTATAGCTTGTTTGCACCAAACAGTCTACTGGCAGTAATCCATTTAATTATTACAGGGTGGTGGAGTTAGTCTAAAGAAAAATGCCACAGCAGCACCAAGATTGATCAGTTCAAGTGAACTTGAGTGAGTTGCATTAATCTCATATTTTTAGCTACATTTTGGGGTGCTAAGCTCCTGATAACTTGTTTGTTTTTCTCCTTTGAAGCGAGTTTCGGCCACTCATTCAATATAGACGTGACCGTGAAACTGGCCAGGCTTTTGAGATTCTTGATGGAATGATGCTTAAGGATGGATATTTATACAAAAGAGTGTCAATTGACTCATTAAATTGCTGGGGTGTTGTGCCTTCGGAAGAGGAACTCCTGAAGTTTATGCCTTCTGATAGAAATGAGTCTGTTGATTTGGAGTGGCTTTCACAGCTTTATGGTGAACAAAAGAAAAAGCGGACTGTACCAATGGACAAAGGGGGTAGTAAAGGAGAGTGCTCATCGGGATCTAGCCTTGGGAACAGTTTTGAACTCTTTGAACTAGTATGCTTTGGGTAAGTAATTTAAATATGCGTAGTACAGCAAATGTTTTGTGTCTTTATATTGATCTTTATTTGCCTACATATTGTTGCTCTTATAGGCGGAAAGACTTTGGTCTTATTGTAAGCATGGAGAAAGATGATCAATACAAGGTAGTAAAGTTAAGAATATCTTCTCAACCTTGTCATGTCAGCCACTTACCTATTATTTGACGTTTCAGATACTGAAAGAGGGTCCAGAAGGACCTGCTGTAGTTCCTGTTGAACGGCGCATGCTAAAAACTGGACCCTTTGATATGAAATTTACTGCTTTAGATCAGCACATGAAGATCATATCTGTTAATGATACTGTCAGGGTTTTGGAAGGTCCAACTAAGGTTTGACCCTATCAGCAAACTAGGATTTAATTTTAGTTATTTTGATGTAGGTGATATGCATGAATAGATGTGCTGGCTTTTAACTACTTTTATGGCACTTTGCAGGATAGGCAAGGTATTGTTAGGCAAATCTACAGAGGGATCATATTTTTATATGATGAGAATGAAACTGAAAATGGTGGTTATTTCTGCACCAAATCACAACTTTGCGAGAAAATCAAGATTTCTGCTGATGCATGTGATGGAAAGGTTTGAAGTCTCTAAAATTTCCTTGGGACCCTCTTCATCATCTGTTGTTGGATCATTTATTCGGATGCTCTCTAAGATAATTTTCCCTGTAACACAGGGTGGTGGATCGGGTGCTTCTGGTTTTGAAGAACTAGTGTCTTCTCCCAAGTCTCCTCTGTCGCCTAAGAAACCATGGCAAGCAAAGGAATTCAATGGTGACTTTATGTTAGAAGTGTTTAATGATTGTAGTAGATAAAGTTTATGCCTCTTCATAATTGCTTATTTTGATTGCAGTCAAACGAGGAGATAAAGATGGAATGTTTTCAGTTGGCCAAACATTAAGAATCCGAGTCGGTCCTTTGAAGGGGTATCTCTGTCGTGTTTTAGCAATACGCTATTCAGAAATTACTGTGAAGCTTGATTCTCAGCAGAAGGTTCTTACAGGTAAATCAAAAGTGTTCTTCTGGTAAAATGTGTATGCATGTCACCTCTATAATGCTTCCAAATATTTTGATGTTTCTGCAGTTAAAGGTGAGCACCTTGCTGAGGTTCGTGGGAAGAGCTTTGCGACTTCTACAAGGTATATGATTTTCATAAATGTAAATTATCAGTGTCAATGCATAAATGCTGGTAAAATATTTTCTCATTATGATTTTTGGAAATTTTTCTGATGTGTTGTTTCCTTCTTTCAAAAAGTGATGATCCAGGGTCTGGTTCATTTAAACCATTTGATCTGCTGGGAACTGAAGGTTCCTCTGGAGGTGGGTGTCACTTATTTCACCTAGTATAGGTTTTATTACTCCTGACTTGAAGGGAAAATGTTCAAAAAATTGTTTCTCCCTGAACTTTTCACTAAATTGATCTTTCCTATTAGTATATAACAATGAGACACTGAGGGGAACTATCACTTATAATGTGTAAATTCATGTAGATCACCTGTTAAAATGGTCTTTCTGTTTTGCATTATATTTAACAGTTTTATTTCTGACGGGTTTTGATTTCATCTTTGACTTTGGGATTTGATATGTTTTCATTTTTCCTTTTCTCTTTTGGGGGAGCAGGTTGGATGAATGGAGCGGGCACATCAGCGGAGGGTGATAGGTGGAATGCTGGAGGTTCATCCGGTGAAAGGTAAAATATTGTTTCAAGTTGGTGTTCGTTTGTCAACCTAATATTTCTCAGTAAGCTTTATCATGGTTTTTCTTGGATTCACTTCAATTTAACTGTTATTTTGCTGCATGATTTTGCTGAATATTTTGTTGGTTGGTCTTATGTTTGTGAGTTTTGATGGTTGCCCATAGTTTCAAGTCACTGATCACCTGTTAAAATGCTTTTTCTGTTTTGCATTGTAGTTACATATAATGTGGAAATTCTTGTAGATCACCTGTTAAAGTATGCCTGGTTAATTCTATTTTAGTAAAAAGGTGTTTGTTCTTGTTATATTAGTGTTTAGGGTTATATAAACTAACTGAATGGGCTATGTTTTTGTTGACACATATATATGATACCTGTATGGCACAACACAAACTTGAGCTTCTAAACATGAATTGCTGCCGCTAGCCCACTGTATTGGGATAAAGCTCGAAAGAGTGAGGATTGTAGAACTTGTTTTTATCGATTAAACCGAATTAAATGCTTGGCTTATTGTGAACACCTGTTTTTTTTGGAATGTCGTGATGTTGCTGGGCTTACATCCATGTTTAGTTTTTTCTATTTGATAAGAAACTATTAAAATTTGCCTTTAGAATGTGTAACTAATTTGTGACTTTGCTCCAAGTACTCCTTTTCTTCTCTCCTTGATACTGATGCTTCTAATCTGATATGGTAGGAGCTCCTGGCCTAGTTTTCCTGCTTCTGGAACTATGGTTAGTCTTGAACTCAGTGTAACTCTCTCATGTTTGTGAGCATACTCAAATAAATTTTTTAAGATAATTTTAATACCATGGAATATTTTGTGGTTTCAGATTCAAGAGGAAGACTCTGCATGGGAGTGCAAGGCAACTGCAAATCAAAATTCATCTTGGGGTGCAGCAGTGGCCGATGGGAAGAATGAAGACTGTTGGAACAAAGCTGCTGTAGAAGTTATTGGCTCTGACAGCGGTGCATCTGGCAGTTGGGGTAAATCAGTGGTACCCAGTGGCGATCCAACCAGTTCTTTGCATGCTTCTCATGATAACTGGGGTAATGCAAAAGGCCCTGCTGACCCTTCTAAAGATGCTTCAAGCGAGTGGGGGAAAAACAATGATGCAAATGGTAATCAGGACAACTGTAAAAAATCAGACCCCTGGGACAAAGGCATGAACACTGTTGGTAACTCTAACAGTTGGGGTGCTGCAACTGCTGAGAAAAACCAATTGGATTCATGGGGTAAAGGTAAAGATATGGTTGAAGATGGAGGTACTTCTGGTAAACAAGATGTTGGATCTTTGTGGAGTAAACAAGATGGAGGGTCTTCTTGGAGTAAACAAGCTGATAAACAGCACAGCAAACATTTGGTGAACAAAAGAAAAAGCGGACTGTACCATGGACAAAGGGGTAGTAAAGGAGAGTGCTCATGGGATCTAGCCTTGGGAACAGTTTTGAACCTTTGAACTAGTATGCTTGGTAAGTAATTTAAATATGCGTAGTACAGCAAATGTTTTGTGTCTTTATATTGATCTGTATTTGCTACATATTGTTGCTCTTATAGGCGGAAAGACTTTGGTCTTATTGTAAGCATGGAGAAAATGATCAATACAAGGTAGTAAAGTTAAAATATCTTCTCAACCTTGTCATGTCAGCCCTTACCTATTATTTGACGTTTCAGATACTGAAAGAGGGTCCAGAAGGACCTGCGTATTTCCTGTTGACGGCGCATGCTAAAAACTGGACCCTTTGATATGAAATTTACTGCTTTAGATCAGCACATGAAGATCATATCTGTTAATGATACTGTCAGGGTTTTGGAAGGTCCAACTAAGGTTGACCCTATCGCAAACTAGGATTTAATTTTAGTTATTTTGATGTAGGTATATGCATGAATAGATGTGGCTGCTTTAACTACTTTTATGGCACTTTGCAGGATAGGCAAGGTATTGTTAGGCAAATCTACAGAGGGATCATATTTTTATATGATGAGAATGAAACTGAAAATGGTGGTTATTTCTGCACCAATCACAACTTTGCGAGAAATCAGATTCATGACAAACTTCTTCAATCATCCACTTCGTTAATGCCATCTGCCCCAACTCACACACAAGAACCTTCCTGCCAACTGCACCAAAATCCCCTACTTTGCACCCTTATGTTTCCTACAATAGACCAACACACTAGGGGTCTCATCAGTGAATTAGTGGTTTTATGTAGGTTTAGAGTGTTTTTTTTTTTCTTGTGTGTGAAATGAATATTATGATGATTGATTTTTTTTTTAATTTTTCAAAATTTTCTGCAATAGGTATTTTGTGAGGTTTATTAGGATTCTGAAAATGGTTTGGTTTGGTTTAGTTTGTTTTCTTGTGCCTTTTGGTTATTTTTGTTTCTGATAACTTAAGTTCTGAGGTTTTTGATACATTGCCCAATTTTTGCATTTTATTTAAACTGAACCCCCTCCTTTGAATTTGTGAGAATAGATTTTATGCAAGAAGAAGTTGCTGCACAACTGAAAGTAAATAACGAACAAGGAAAATCTTATAACCTTCCATTCTTTCCCAAGGAAGAGGTAATAGATGAGGTAGAATTTGACAAATTGATGGAAGAACGTTACAAGGACGGTTCTAATTTTGTCAGTTATGTGGGAGATGATTATGAGTCCAAAAGAATGGTTGACAGTAATTACCATATGGCTTATCATAAGGATCCAATCGTCTGGAAGGTCAAATGCATGGTATGATATTTGGAATATTGCTTTTATAATTGTTTCAATGGAATTTTTAATCGATTTCCTTAATTATACTTTTTTTTTTGGTGTTCTTGTTTCTCTTTTGTTCACTTTATACATCTTTGTTGTAGGTTGGACGTGAGAGGCACTCGGCTTTTTGTCTGATGCAGAAGTTTGTAGATTTGCAATCATTTGGTACCAAACTGCAGATAATATCCGCATTTTCCATTGACCACATAAAGGGTTTTATTTACATTGAAGCTGATAAACAAGCTGATGTTAATGAGGTATTTTACATATTGGGTTTTGATGATTGTCTATGATTTGGTTATTAACAGTACAAATACATTTGCTTCAATGATGCATATGTTTGACTTCAGGCGTGTAAAGGACTTTCTGGTATATATACTTCGAGAATGGCCCCAGTTCCCCAGAATGAAGTTTCACATTTGTTCTCTACCCGCATCAAGTATAATGAAGTTTCTGTGGGCACATGGGCCTATGTGAAGAGTGGAAAATATAAGGGGGATTTGGCACAGGTCATATTTTTTAGAGTAGCATGACTACCTTTCTACTTGATTTTAGTACTTTGCTAAGTCAATTCTTTTTTTAGGTCGTGGCTGTGAACAATGCACGGAAAAGAGCGACTGTGAAGCTAATCCCAAGAATTGATTTACAAGCATTGGCTGCAAAATTTGTAATCAAATTTCTTACCTCTTAAGTTTGCTTTTTAGTTTTTGCTGTTGATGTTTGTTGCTTTTCTAAATACAGTCTAATATAAATAGATGACTGCATGCTGCCCTGTAATCTTTACCATATTAATGTTCTTAGTGGAACGGAGTAGAGCAACAGAATGGGAAAGAATTTTTCTCCGTGTGGATAAAAATGGTGAAGAACCACTGATTTAGTTGCTCTTTACTTGCAAAAGTAGTGCCTGACTCCTCTTGAGGATAGTCTTTCTTGAAGCGGCCTCTTAGTGAAGTTGTCTAGCCTCAATGGAAAGATCTTTTTATTGAATGGGATGTTAGCGGGAACCCTTCAAGTTGATAGGCATTCTACAGTTGGACAAATCATAAGGATGACATGCCTTGATGTATAGTACAATTTTTGGCAACAACCCATAAACAACTACTTGTAATGGGGTCCAAAAAGATAAAATGTTGAGCTTGTTGGTAGTTACTAAGAGATGAACGATTGAGTATGCTCTGTGTCAGTGCCAATTTTGAAGGGAAGGTGTAGTGCTGTGCACATTGTCTAATCATTTTAATATCATGATTGTAATGGTTTATTCTAGTTAGAGACTTATGAGTACTTGACAATTACTGACCTTTGAGAGTTTGACTGGAGAGTTATCTGTATGAAATTTGTGCTGCCTTTTCGCATAATCATATTCTGTTCATTTTATAGCTTGTTTGCACCAAACAGTCTACTGGCAGTAATCCATTTAATTATTACAGGGTGGTGGAGTTAGTCTAAAGAAAAATGCCACAGCAGCACCAAGATTGATCAGTTCAAGTGAACTTGAGTGAGTTGCATTAATCTCATATTTTTAGCTACATTTTGGGGTGCTAAGCTCCTGATAACTTGTTTGTTTTTCTCCTTTGAAGCGAGTTTCGGCCACTCATTCAATATAGACGTGACCGTGAAACTGGCCAGGCTTTTGAGATTCTTGATGGAATGATGCTTAAGGATGGATATTTATACAAAAGAGTGTCAATTGACTCATTAAATTGCTGGGGTGTTGTGCCTTCGGAAGAGGAACTCCTGAAGTTTATGCCTTCTGATAGAAATGAGTCTGTTGATTTGGAGTGGCTTTCACAGCTTTATGGTGAACAAAAGAAAAAGCGGACTGTACCAATGGACAAAGGGGGTAGTAAAGGAGAGTGCTCATCGGGATCTAGCCTTGGGAACAGTTTTGAACTCTTTGAACTAGTATGCTTTGGGTAAGTAATTTAAATATGCGTAGTACAGCAAATGTTTTGTGTCTTTATATTGATCTGTATTTGCCTACATATTGTTGCTCTTATAGGCGGAAAGACTTTGGTCTTATTGTAAGCATGGAGAAAGATGATCAATACAAGGTAGTAAAGTTAATAATATCTTCTCAACCTTAGTCATGTCAGCCACTTACCTATTATTTGACGTTTCAGATACTGAAAGAGGGTCCAGAAGGACCTGCTGTAGTTCCTGTTGAACGGCGCATGCTAAAAGCTGGACCCTTTGATATGAAATTTACTGCTTTAGATCAGCACATGAAGATCATATCTGTTAATGATACTGTCAGGGTTTTGGAAGGTCCAACTAAGGTTTGACCCTATCAGCAAACTAGGATTTAATTTTAGTTATTTTGATGTAGGTGATATGCATGAATAGATGTGCTGGCTTTTAACTACTTTTATGGCACTTTGCAGGATAGGCAAGGTATTGTTAGGCAAATCTACAGAGGGATCATATTTTTATATGATGAGAATGAAACTGAAAATGGTGGTTATTTCTGCACCAAATCACAACTTTGCGAGAAAATCAAGATTTCTGCTGATGCATGTGATGGAAAGGTTTGAAGTCTCTAAAATTTCCTTGGGACCCTCTTCATCATCTGTTGTTGGATCATTTATTCGGATGCTCTCTAAGATAATTTTCCCTGTAACACAGGGTGGTGGATCGGGTGCTTCTGGTTTTGAAGAACTAGTGTCTTCTCCCAAGTCTCCTCTGTCGCCTAAGAAACCATGGCAAGCAAAGGAATTCAATGGTGACTTTATGTTAGAAGTGTTTAATGATTGTAGTAGATAAAGTTTATGCCTCTTCATAATTGCTTATTTTGATTGCAGTCAAACGAGGAGATAAAGATGGAATGTTTTCAGTTGGCCAAACATTAAGAATCCGAGTCGGTCCTTTGAAGGGGTATCTCTGTCGTGTTTTAGCAATACGCTATTCAGAAATTACTGTGAAGCTTGATTCTCAGCAGAAGGTTCTTACAGGTAAATCAAAAGTGTTCTTCTGGTAAAATGTGTATGCATGTCACCTCTATAATGCTTCCAAATATTTTGATGTTTCTGCAGTTAAAGGTGAGCACCTTGCTGAGGTTCGTGGGAAGAGCTTTGCGACTTCTACAAGGTATATGATTTTCATAAATGTAAATTATCAGTGTCAATGCATAAATGCTGGTAAAATATTTTCTCATTATGATTTTTGGAAATTTTTCTGATGTGTTGTTTCCTTCTTTCAAAAAGTGATGATCCAGGGTCTGGTTCATTTAAACCATTTGATCTGCTGGGAACTGAAGGTTCCTCTGGAGGTGGGTGTCACTTATTTCACCTAGTATAGGTTTTATTACTCCTGACTTGAAGGGAAAATGTTCAAAAAATTGTTTCTCCCTGAACTTTTCACTAAATTGATCTTTCCTATTAGTATATAACAATGAGACACTGAGGGGAACTATCACTTATAATGTGTAAATTCATGTAGATCACCTGTTAAAATGGTCTTTCTGTTTTGCATTATATTTAACAGTTTTATTTCTGACGGGTTTTGATTTCATCTTTGACTTTGGGATTTGATATGTTTTCATTTTTCCTTTTCTCTTTTGGGGGAGCAGGTTGGATGAATGGAGCGGGCACATCAGCGGAGGGTGATAGGTGGAATGCTGGAGGTTCATCCGGTGAAAGGTAAAATATTGTTTCAAGTTGGTGTTCGTTTGTCAACCTAATATTTCTCAGTAAGCTTTATCATGGTTTTTCTTGGATTCACTTCAATTTAACTGTTATTTTGCTGCATGATTTTGCTGAATATTTTGTTGGTTGGTCTTATGTTTGTGAGTTTTGATGGTTGCCCATAGTTTCAAGTCACTGATCACCTGTTAAAATGCTTTTTCTGTTTTGCATTGTAGTTACATATAATGTGGAAATTCTTGTAGATCACCTGTTAAAGTATGCCTGGTTAATTCTATTTTAGTAAAAAGGTGTTTGTTCTTGTTATATTAGTGTTTAGGTTTATATAAAATAACTGAATGGGCTATGTTTTTGTTGACATATATATATGATACCTGTATGGCACAACACAAACTTGAGCTTCTAAACATGAATTGCTGCCGCTAGCCCGATGTATTGGGATAAAGCTCGAAAGAGTGAGGATTGTAGAACTTGTTTTTATCGATTAAACCGAATTAAATGCTTGGCTTATTGTGAACACCTGTTTTTTTTGGAATGTCGTGATGTTGCTGGGCTTACATCCATGTTTAGTTTTTTCTATTTGATAAGAAACTATTAAAATTTGCCTTTAGAATGTGTAACTAATTTGTGACTTTGCTCCAAGTACTCTCTTTTCTTCTCTCCTTGATACTGATGTTTCTAATCTGATATGGTAGGAGCTCTTGGCCTAGTTTTCCTGCTTCTGGAACTATGGTTAGTCTTGAACTCAGTTTAACTCTCTCATGTTTGTGAGCATACTCAAATAAATTTTTTAAGAAAATTTTAGTACCATGGAATATTTTGTGGTTTCAGATTCAAGAGGAAGACTCTGCATGGGAGTGCAAGGCAACTGCAAATCAAAATTCATCTTGGGGTGCAGCAGTGGCCGATGGGAAGAATGAAGACTGTTGGAACAAAGCTGCTGTAGAAGTTATTGGCTCTGACAGCGGTGCATCTGGCAGTTGGGGTAAATCAGTGGTACCCAGTGGCGATCCAACCAGTTCTTTGCATGCTTCTCATGATAACTGGGGTAATGCAAAAGGCCCTGCTGACCCTTCTAAAGATGCTTCAAGCGAGTGGGGGAAAAACAATGATGCAAATGGTAATCAGGACAACTGTAAAAAATCAGACCCCTGGGACAAAGGCATGAACACTGTTGGTAACTCTAACAGTTGGGGTGCTGCAACTGCTGAGAAAAACCAATTGGATTCATGGGGTAAAGGTAAAGATATGGTTGAAGATGGAGGTACTTCTGGTAAACAAGATGTTGGATCTTTGTGGAGTAAACAAGATGGAGGGTCTTCTTGGAGTAAACAAGCTGATAAACAGCACAGCAAACAGGATGGAGGATCTTCATGGGGCAATCAAGGTGGAGGGTCTTCGTGGAATAAAGAAGATCAGCACAGCAAGCAGGATGGAGGATCTTCTCGGGGCAAGCAAGATGGAGGATCTTCATGGGGCAAGCAGGATGGAGGATCTTCTCGGGGCAAGCAAGATGGAGGATCTTCATGGGGTAAGCAGGATGGAGGATCTTCTCGGGGCAAGCAGGATGGAGGATCTTCATGGGGTAAGCAAGATGGAGGATCCTCATGGGGCAAGCAGGATGGAGGATCTTCTTGGGGCAAGCAAGATGGAGGATCTTCATGGGGTAAGCAGGATGGAGGATCTTCTCGGGGCAAGCAAGATGGAGGATCTTCGTGGGGTAAGCAGGATGGAGGATCCTCATGGGGCAAGCAAGATGGAGAGTCTTCATGGGGCAAGCAAGATGGAGGATCGGGCAATCAAGACAGAGAGTCTTCATGGGGCAAGCAAGATGGAGGATCTTATCGTGGCAAGCAAGATGGAGGATCTTCATGGGGCAAGCAAGATGATCAAGGAAAAAGCTGGGAGAAGCCACAGGGATTTGATGGAGGTCGTGGATCAGGTGGGAGATGGGGACAAGGAGGTGGTAGAGGAGGTAGAGATCAATCTGGCACAGGAAGATCGTTTGGCCGGGGTCAGTCTTCAGGTTGGGAGAAAGAATGTCCAGGAAACAATTGGACTAGTAATGGGGATGCCGGAAAAAGTTGGAATGCAGGCAGCAGGGCTTCATTTGATGACCATGGCACTGATTGGAAAAGTGGAACAAGTCAGGCAGGTGGAAATCCATCAAACAGGGATAACAAATCCAGTGATTGGAGTGCTTCTCTTAAAACTTCTCAAGATAAGTCATGTGGTTGGAATAAAGAATCTGCTGCTGACAAAGTGAATGAGCATAAAGATCAAGGAGATGGTTGTAATAATAGGAAAACTTCAGATGGTGGTTCTGCAACTGGTCAAAGTGCTGGTTTGAAAGAAGTGAATGATTCTAGTAGAGACCAGGATTCTAAATGGGGTAAAAATAGCAATTGGAATTCTGGATCTAGTGATGCTGGTAGATATCAGGATTCTAATTGGGGCAAAAAAAGCAATTGGATTTCTGGATCTAGCGATGCTGGTGGAAATCAGGATTCTAATTGGGGCAAAAAGAGCAGTTGGAATTCTGGATCTGGTGATGCTGGTGGAAATCAGGATTCTACTTGGGGCAAGAAAAGTAGTTGGAACTTGGGATCTGCTGATGCCGACCAGGATTCAACTGGGGATAAGAAGGGCAGCTGGAGCTCTGGTGGTAATGCAAACCAAGATTCAAGTTGGGGCCAAAAACGTAAGTGGAACTCTGGATCTGATGACGCAAACCAGAATTCCAACTGGGGTAACAAAGGCAGCTGGAATTCTGGATCCAGCGATGCGAACCAGGAAACTAGTTGGGGCCAAAAAGGTAATTGGAGCTCAAGATCTGGTGATGCTAATCAGGAATCTAATTGGGGTAAGAAAAGTGAGTGGAATTCTGGAAACGAAGATCAAACAGGTGGAGGAAGTTGGAGGGATGGTTCTGACGGGGGGAGCTTTAGAGGTAGAGGAGGTTCAGATAGAGGTGGCTTTGGAGGTAGAGGCAGATCAGACAGAGGAGGCTTTGGAGGTCGAGGTAGGGGTGATAGAGGTGGTTTTGGTGGTAGGGGCGATAGAGGAGGCTTTGGTGGGAGGGGCGATAGAGGAGGCTTTGGTGGTAGGGGCGGTAGGGGAGGCTTTGGTGGTAGGGGCAATAGTGGTGGCTTTGGTGGTAGGGATGGATCAGATAGAGGAGGATTTGGTGGTAGAGGCCGTGGAAGGAGGGATCAAGGTGGTAGTTGGAACAATAGTGATTCTGGAAGTTGGAACCAAGATGGTGATAAGGGCCAGTGGAAGAGTTGGAATTCAGGAAGTGGTGGAAGTAGCAGTCTAGCTGGTGGTTGGAACAAAGGAGGTGATACAACTAATGAAACTGGTGGTAAGAGTCAAGGAAACAATTGGAAGCCATCAGATACTTCAGGTGGGAGCCAATGGTCTGGTTGGAAGGATTCTGACACTACAAAGGAAGTTAAAGGAACTGATGATCAAGGCGGCAGTGGGTGGAACAAGGGATCAGGTGGAAATGCTCAAGCTGGGAGCTGGAGTAACCAAGGTTCAGGTTGGAACAGCGGAACAGGGACAAGAAACGGTGGTGGTGATGGTGATCAACCCAAGTCCTGGAATCAATCAAATGATGCAGATGGTCAATCATCCGGTTGGGGTCAGTCGAAAGATAAAGGAGAAGCAAGCGGTGGAGGAAGCTCTTGGGGGAAGGGAAGTGATGGAAGTGGAAGCGGGAAAGGAGGGTGGTAATCACTCTCCGTAGAAATATTAACATTATGTAGGTTAAGTTTCTCATGGGTGCAGATACAGATTTTAATTTCTTCTCTTTTATGCACAGTTAGGGTCTAGAAGCGCACAGTATCTTTCTATGGAACCCAATATCTAATATGCCTGTGACATTTTTCAACTCCTTCGTATGTATAGCTCCAGGCTTGGCATGAAGGACCTGATGTTTGTTTCTCTCTATGTTTAAAATAGAACATTTCCTCAATGTATATATTGCTTGGAAAATTTTATTTTATTTTATTTTTTTTAAATTTTTGGTAAGGGTAAATTACAGTGACTTCCCTATGGCATCGGTAAAAAAGACATCTTTGAGTTGTAGGTTCCCAGAATACGTTCACTTGGCCACAAGAAGTGGACCAGAGACAGGGCAAATTTAATTAAACATTGTATGATTTGGATTCGGGAACTGAAAGCAGTGTTAGGGGATATGCTGAACAATTGATATCCGTGAGTTGAGTAAAATACATGCTGAAAGAAATGGAAATTTTTAGAACTTCAGGTTTTTTTTTTTTTTTTTACGTCATATAAAGGGTATTAAAGAAAGTTCCTATCTTTTAACTAGGAAAGACGGGATTTTTAACTTTTTAAACATTTTGATGAAGCTGGGCTGGGGAAATTTAAATCACCAGTAGGAAACAAGAAGATGGACATCGCAAAAACCAAAGATAAATAGGCAAGTAGCTTATATTGCTTGCCAATTTGCTTTTAGTTAAATGGCAATGTTTTTGTTTGCTTACTTAGCTATATTAATTAAGATATTGAATAAAATATTATAATCATTTCAGATTTCACATTGAAATAATAACACCTCTCGCTAAAGTATAACTGACTGTCGTTCAGGTTTTGCCGTTTGCGTCTTCATGGTATACGGTAGCCTAAAGTTTGTTATTGTTCATAATAGTCTTTTATTACTCATGTTCATCAGTTTGAGGCTCTCCCATTACATGATGCTTTTCACACTTACACCCTCAGTTAACGTCGCGAGAGTTTACTGTATTAATAGTTTTCCTTTTCGGCTTCATGTGTAACTATAAGAATATACATATACGAATAAATTAGAATTTCTGGAATCAAAAAATCTGATTTGAAGTTTATAAGATTTGATCAACTTACCCCCATATTAACTCAAAATTCTGAAGTAGGCGATCAATCATCTTCTTTATCTTCCTTCATGAGAAACTGCAATCTAATAATATATGTATTAGAACTTTTTGGGATAAAAAAAAAATCTAACTTAAAATTGTAACAATGTTCATCACCTTTTTAATTTTCTCCAATCTTTTAGTAATGCAAACGTAGATTTTCAATGAATAAGAAATGTAGTTTAAAAACAAGATTGAATAGTTTGAACTTGTAATATGTGACAATCGATTATTCAATTCAATTTTTTTTTTTTTTTTTCCATCTTATTCTTGTTGAGGTTATTTTGTTCTTTAGAAAGGAAAAAAAAATGACATTGAAGGATTAAAAAATATGATAAGATTTATAAAATCATGAAATAATGTTGTATATTGAGAAGGTGAGGCATCAGATATGAGTCTTGTTTGGTGCACCTTTATAGAATGATATTTAGCTCTGTTTTAAAAACCGGACCGGTCGGTCGGACTGGGACCCGGTAGCTTCTCTGGTCCGGTTCAGATCTTAGGGGGTTTTTTTGTAATACTTAAAATTTATAAGGGTTAATTGAATTTTATAGTCAAAAGTTTAGAGATTAATTGGTAATTTTTGGGGTATTTTTTGAAATAAATAAAAATTTTAGGGACTAATTTGAACTTTTTTAGGAGAATTTTTGTAATATATTAAAATTTAAGGGATAATATGTAATTTTTTAAAAATTAAATTTTTGCTGATGTCATCGATCCAACCGATCTGTTGACCCGTGACCCGGGCAGCAAAACCGGTTGCCCTCCGGTCCAGGTTTTAAAACAATGATATTTAGCATGCTTTTTTCCAAGTTGGCAAAAACTTATTTTCAAGTGAATTCTTTATTCTTTATTTATTTATTTAAATTTTAAATGAACTTGTACATGAAATTCAGAATTATATATATAATTGATTCAATATTTAATTAGTTGTATTAATGTTTACCTAAATTTAGGGATAGCAATTTCCTTCGTGGGATGGGTCCCCGCCTTGTTTAGGGAGGAGGGGATTTAAACTAAAATTTCAGGGACGGGGTTGAGATAGGGATGAAAACACATCCCTGAATTGATTTCAGGGAGTGCCACATCCTTGATCCCCGAAATAAATTTATTATTAAATAAATTTAATTCATTTAATTAATAAATATTTAAGTGATGTTCTAAAAAAAAAAAAAAAAAAAAAAAAAAATGACCATACGAAAGGAAAACTCAATTTTGTAAACCGAATTAGTGAGATTGAGTCGTTATTATAAATTTATAATAATAGGTATTAAAATTTCATTGAATTATATTAATTTTTTTTTCCCATACGAACTTGACTTCATTTTTACTTGTTATATATATTTTGTTAAGTGTTGAATTTCATCTTTTTCACTTCCAAAAATAAACTACGATTTAAATTAATATTAAAATTGATAATAATAGAATATCATTAAAAAAAAAAATTAGATATCATTTTTATTTCAATCTGTAGGGATCTCTATCCCCATTTTGGGGATCCCCATCTCCATCCCCGTATTGATCGAATCGAGGATGAGGGTGGATCACCACCCCGATTGCCATCCCTAAGTAAATTGTTGTGATATGCATAATCTTTGAAGAAGATGTAGGAGTTGCATTGAGTTTCTGACAAAAGTGTTGAAGGAGTTAAAAGTTCCTAATAATTTCTCCTTTGCTTGCAATGTGATATTGAACAAGATGGATATGGCAAAAGGCAAAGATAAATAGGCAGAAGATTTTTAGTTGCCAATTTGGTTTTAGTTAATTAGAAGGCAATGTGATATTGCAAATTCTGCTCGATTTCATAAGTTTGAAGGAACACAACAAATATTCGTTTCAATTCTTTATAATCTTTGCCAAAATGCAGGCGGATAACATTGCGTTTAGTGACACACATAAGGGTGGATTTACGCAAGGAGATGCGGAAATAATACTTCAAGATCCATTACATGTCCAAGGCCTTTTGTTCTTTCACAAATCTTTTAGGTTCTTAAAAAGAAACAGGTTAATAAGGTTCAATTGTCCAAAATGAGTTTCTAAATCCACGGATTTATCAACATTGTGACGACGGGTATACCCCTTAGATAGGTTTTCAATTCAAATTGGAGGGGTGTAATTATGTCACTATTATCATGTTTAAATATCCTGAAATTTGTCAATAGTTTTCTATTCTAATAGAATCAAATCAAAAAGGTAAAGTTGGACTAACTGAAGAAGAGGCATTAGATAATCTCACGAGGGTATGTTTGGTTCAGAGAATGTTGTATTACTAGGAATGTTATATTAATGGAAAGTAAGATTACCTTGAAGATTATTAGTAGGGGGCATTTGGATCATATAATGTTTTTTTATCTTATTAATAAGATTATCAGTTTAAATTATTATTGTGCTTGGTTCAATTGGGATGTATTAATAATTAATGTGTTTGGTTGATAGTAATAACAGATGTCCTGAAATACCATTTTACTAGAATTCCCTTGGGATGATTACTTGTATTACTAATTAATCTGTTGAGTTGGCTATAAGAGCAGATGTCTTGATTACATTTAACTAAAATGCCCTTTAGATGATTACTGAGTATAAATCATTAATGTGTTTGGTTAATAAAAGAAATGATCAATTAACAAAATTCTTTTTCTTTTATTTTAGCCAAATATTTTATTGTTAAGTCATTTATTGACAAATTTACATAGACTATTGAAACTAAAAAAAAAACCTATTGTAATTTCTGTTGGGTATACATTCAATACTTCACCCTGGTATTGCAACTAATATAGTTCCCATCTCCCAATTTAGAACTATGATTTGTGTACTGCCACAAATCATTGTTTGTACATGTTGATTTCTACGTTAGTCCAATTGAAACCTTTTTTTTTTTTCAAGGCAAAAGAGAAATTGTATTTTTTTGGTTTACACCATGGTTGGAATTCAAATGCAAGTTTCCAAATTTGAGAAAATTTGTTAACTGTTTCCACTTATCCTGGACCAAAACTATGTGTGAAAAGTGTGAGAATTATTGGTACATTTGTAATATCACATATTTTGGAGTACCTGTGCATTTACATTATGCTAAATTCAAGCAATGTGCCAATAAATTAACTACAAGCAGAATAACGATGCTCTTTAAATTTGTGAACCAATAATAATACATAATTCCGCACGTTGCAACAATGAACATAATCACCACAATTTTTTAAGTGAACTCAATCTGACATCCACAAATACAAATTACACAATAGTCATACATAAATGAATAAAACGCAGCCTATGCTACTCAACTTCACACAACAGTTTGTCACGGAAGGTTGTAAATTCATCCAGTGTAAACCAATCATGCGTCATCTGTGGAGAATAAAAATCAACAACAATAACCCACATATTATAATTGAAGAGACAATAAACAAATCACCCTAATCAATTAAATGACTGCAGTACTTACAAAGTAAGTATACCCATCGTTGATTGAAAAATCTTTTAGGGCAGCTTCTACAAACTTGGTTATATAATACAGTACGAAATATCCGCAATCCATGTCATTCCATTGTTCAGGGACCTGGTGAGTGCATTTATCGGTCACAACAAATACATGAAATATTGAACATATCAACCACTAATTACCATCAACCAACACAATATACTGTTTTATCACCTTAGGCACTAGCAAAGGTAGTTTATTAACCAAAGCTGGATGCTTGGGCATTGTTCCTGATCATAAATATCCCTCCCAAACCTGCATAATTAAAGTTGGACAATTTGAAACCTATTCTAGTACCACATCTCCAACAATACAATTTCATCATGTGCTCAAATGTGCTTACAAAT